AAAACCATCCAAAAATTAAAAAACTTGCACCGATTTCTGCATTCCTGCAACAACTCTATGGCAAGTATCCACTTTCAATTGCTTACAATGCCCGACCGAAAAATGTCAACCTCCAGACAATTTTTTCTTTACTCCACACAAAACTGTTGTCGTACTTATAATACTCTCTGCGAAAGGGTCAGGCTGCCATTTGAAATTCAAGTTTGAGGTGAACCAGTTCCCCATTTCTCCTCTTCAGCAGTACATGAAAAACTAGCAATTGGACAATGAAAACTGTAATTTTTCCATATTTCCCACAAGAAGTCCAGCTTTCATATCAATGCCCATTCCAGATAAGTTTTCTTGGAATGAAACCATTTCACACATTCAGAGGCACAATCAAAGAAAATGCAAGGAAAAAACATTATATTTGGATGCCTATTGTTTCTAGCAATGTCACTACATAGGGTTTCCAGTGGAGCACACTAGTTGAATCTTATATGCATGATTAGAAAATTTTTCTTGTGATTTCTTTCACAGAATTGATTAATTTTACATTATTGAGTACTTAATATACTAACCAGTATTATACGATAGTTCAGAAATAGCCAAATAAAAACTATAAAAACTCAAACCACGAGAATAATTAATGGACATATAATCATATACATGCATGATAGACAGAGGACACAATTGATCCAAAACATAGATTAAATAAATGTGCCTTCTGATTCTTTAATATGGATGAAAATCAAGATCTGAATCATTTAGGAATGGCATTTAATACACATTGCTTCATTATGTTATGAAAATCAATGCCCTGGTATCGGATCAAAATCCTATCAGATTCTTCAATTTCCTCACTGTAACTTCCAAAGATTCAGAACACCAGGATGCTAGCACCCAAAATTTAACATAATAAATGAAATAAAAATGTAACATAATAACAAAAGAAAGCATGTTGGCTTCTGATCCATAGTATTCGCACATTTCCAAAGAAAAAAGTTCTACGATAAAAAGGTAGAAGCAGGAAGTCCAAATAGTTTTAAGGGAAGTGATAAATGGGTAACTTAGTAGCTCACTTTGGTATGCAACTCAATCAAATCACATCCTCTCAGAGAGTGATTTATGGTAATTACTACTTTCCGAAAAAAAGCATATATAGTAATTACTGCATCTATTTTCAGTAATTCTATGTTACATAAAAGAAAAAAAAGTACAGTATCAGCTTTTATAATTTCGATTTAGTAATTCAGCAATAATAAGAAGTCAAAGCACATTGTTGGAAAATCTAAGCTTAAATGCCCAAAAATGTAAAGAAGTACTTACATGGATCACTAGCACAGGGCACTTCACCTTCCGAATTTTGTTGACATTCTGCATTTACCAGGGAACATTAGTAGAAACAGCAGCAATTATAGAACAAAAAAACATGCATAGCATACCCAACCAATGATATAAGTCATTAAAACCTAATATAATCTACAATAGCATATCAGTGTGCCATTATACCTGCATGACATAGAACTATAGCTCTTTTAGTGCATAAAAGTGGTTTGGCCATAGGATTGGTAGTTGGAAGTGCCTGTCGTTTTATTCAATAGGAATTCATCTTCTGCTCTAGTGCACAAGATGCCAGAGTGACTTGCAGTGTATTTATCNGGGTTAATTGCAAGTTGTATCCCGAAAGATAGTTCGAATCTCAATTTAGATTTTCAAAGATAAAAAATTTTAATTTGTACCCTCAAAGATAGAAATTTGTATCAATGTGCACCTAAAGTTAAATTGATAAATTATCCTAGATCTCCTCATGCTTATTATNATAGCTCTTTTAGTGCATAAAAGTGGTTTGGCCATAGGATTGGTAGTTGGAAGTGCCTGTCGTTTTATTCAATAGGAATTCATCTTCTGCTCTAGTGCACAAGATGCCAGAGTGACTTGCAGTGTATTTATCTGTTTTCCTCATAAATTTATTCTAGGTTAAAAGTTCAACTGTATCCGTAAATCTGTGTGCCTAACCTGACTAGGCCAACATTTTTGCATTACTTTGAAGCAAAGCACTAATAAACTAGCCCAATTTGCGGTTACCCAAACATAACCCAGAAATCAACGTTCCAGCCATATGCTTTACATAAATCCTACAGCATTTGCTGGTTTGATCAGCGAATGCCAAGTAAATACTGCCAAGAAACAGCAAAGCATTATGAATGCAAATGCAATCAATTCTATTTATTTATTTATTTATTTTTGCTACAGGGTGTCCGGACTTGCACTGACTACTCCCTCAAGTTCAGCGACTAGCTACTGTTGCTTGAGATGGTTTAGAGCATGTCCCTAAAGAGACAAGGGTGGCTACCCCTTACGGGTGTGAAAAAGGGATTAAACCTGAAAACACGGGGTTACCAAAGAACAAGATCAACCATTGGACCACCTTTAAGGGTTCTATTTATCTTATTCATTTACGCTTTTTGTGAGCATAAATTTACAATTATCAGCCTATGTTTTGTAGCATATTATGCAATTTCACACAACACAACATCCCTATATATTTTTAGTGCATATTCTTTCCATTGGAATAAAGCAGTGATTTAGTATAGGGATGTGAACTGTTGTTTGGTTTTTTGTTTTTTTTTTT